ATATCAGATAATTTAAGACTTTTACTCAAGTAATATTCTTAGAGGAGACTTTAACTTTTACCAAAGTAATTTTATGGTAAGATACTTGTACTTTTACTCAAGTATCACTTTGTGGTACTTTATACAACACTGGACAGGCTGCCTTCAGACCCAGACCGCCCTTACAACAAAGGTCCATGATCTCAGTGGGATTACCCTGGATACATAAAGGTTAAAAAAATACATTTATGAAGCTGTATGTTGGCTAGCTAACACAAAGGAAAAGCAAACTGGGCTTCATATATAATAAAAAAAACACTTACCATTGTTTATTAGCTCTTTCTCTATTGTGGTCAGCTCTTCTTTAAAGCTGGTAAAATATTTGTTGAGAGCCCAAACAAAAGCCTGGTAGGTCCTGAAGGGAGGCTCGGAGCCCTTCCTGGAGCCGTGGGACGAGCCGGAGCCTGGTGGGCACGGCTCTGAGCTGTAGCCCGTCACCTCGTCTATGAACTTCTGGAGCCTGGACACGGCCTGACCGTACACAGCGATGTGCTCCAGCACTGAGTACAAACAGTCCTGCAGCACAAAAGAAGACAAGTCCAATCCCTCCCTCCAACACAACACGTTGAAGTAAACATCGACAACTTCCTTCTTCATATCTGAAACTTACACTGGTCAGATGAGTCACCACCACATTATTCCTCACTGTTACCTTCCCATCATGTTGCTGGAAAATAAAATGTTTCTTGACACCAGAGAAAAGCCTGAAAAAACAACAATCAACTCGGATCAGTCACATCTTCACAGGATAATAAAACTTGTGTCCTTGAAGCAGGAGATGGGTTTCTTTTCCTCACAGTGACAAATTGTTCCATCTTACCACAGTGTCTCTCGGATCACTTGGGTCTCTGTGACAAAAGCCTTTTCTTCAGGCAGATACAGAGGATCAGTGTTGTACAAGTGCTGATCCCTGAGAAGACAAAACCAAYACAAATACTTACGTCATTTAAACTCATAATTGTTTTTACAAAGAGACACATTTTTATAAAACCGATGATAAAAGACATGTTATTTTATATTTATTATAACTCACTGCTGAAGACAAATGGGCACTCACAAGGTTTAATCCAATCGATAATGGCCACCACAGACTGTTAAAAACTAAAATATGGCTGTAACTACCGGCAGGTCAAATTTACAAGACCTGATCTAAACTTTACTGTGGTAATATACGAGAAACATCCTCAACCCTCAGAGCAAACATCTCATAAGATCTAACAGGAGAATCTGTATAAACTCATTTACAGTTTCTCCATCCCTTATAAAACAATCTGAGGACATGTCAACATTTGAACTGTCATTTTTCATTKTCGATTGTGGCAAAWCTACAATTTCCATGGCAGGCAGTTAAAAACAGCTGTTGCTTTAAAATAATTGTATTTTGATCCAAACTATTGTATGTGCCGAGTGAGGGTGCATTATCTTTGACAACATTAAATCTACCAACACTGATGCCAGGTGATTTTTGGCTTTCCACGAGACCCACAGCAGACAGTTCAGTTTTGAATATAAGAACAGTTACATACAAAACAGTGAATTCACAAACACTCATTTGGAGTGAGGATGAGTTTGGTGGAAAGGGTGAGCAGCACAAACAGCACTCTRCTGCTTTTCAACTACTTTACTGTGGTTCATTTTTACGCATTTTTTCTGACTGCAGCCATCTACAGGGTGGTTCCACACCTCTGTGCAGGCTTTTAGCTAGAGGAGCATCGGGCCATAGTTTCAACACTTTATTCTGTTTGGCAGTGCCTTATTTCTGTGTAACAATGCCCTAAAGCAATAAACTATTTCAGATTTTTTACTAATAAATAGGACTTGGTTACTATGACGGAGTATTAGGGCCACACAATAAGATTTTTATTATCATTATTACAAGAATAAAGTCATAATATTATGACATGAAAGTCGTAATATTACGAGAATAACGTCATATTACGAGAATATCATTATATTATGAGAATAAAGTCGCATGAGAATAGACTCATATTTTGAGAATAAAGTCATAATATTATGAGAATACAGTCGTAATATTACGAGAATAAAGTCGTAATATTACAAGAATAAAGTCATAATATTACAAGAATAAAGTCATAATATTACGAGAATAACGTCATAATATTACGAGAATAAAGTCGTATGAGAATAGACTCATACTACGAGAATAACGTCATATTACGAGAATAAAAACGTATGAGAATAAAGTCGTAATATTACGAGAATAAAGTCGTAATATTACGAGAATAAAGTCGTAATATTACGAGAATAAAGTCGTAATATTACGAGAATAAAGTCGTAATATTACGAGAAAAAAGTCGTAAAATTACGAGAATAAAGTCGTAAAATTACGAGAATAAAGTCATATGAGAATAAAGTCATAATATTATGAGAAGAACGTCATAATATTACAAGAATAAAGTGATATGAGAATAAAGTCATAATATTACGAGAATAAGGTCGTATGAGAATAGACTCATAATATTAGAAGAATAAAGTCGTAATATTATGAAAATAAAGTTGTATGAAAATAGACTCATATTATTAGGAGAATAACGTCATAATATTACGACGTTATTCTCGTAATAGAACAGAATAACTTCATATTACGAGAATAAAGTCGTATGACATTAAAGTTGTACTAATGCAAGATTAATATCATAAATTAAAGTCATAATATTCTGAGAACTTATACATGAAACAGCAGTCTCACCACTACATTAAAATGCAACTTTTGAAGTTTTTTTTTAATAGTTAATTTTGTTAGCAAATTAGAATCAAATTATCAGTAGCAAGACTTTGAAACAACTGCGCAAACAAATATATGATAAACTGAAGCCGTATTGTAATACATGGCTGCAATGACAGATTTAGTCCTCAAGTAATTCGGATAAAAGCATTTTACTCTAACAGCGACCCAAATGTCATTGTGGAAAACTTCACAAACACAGAGACACGTGAGAAAAATGATGAGGAAATGAGTAAAAAATCAGGAAAGGAAAGTGGACATGTGGACTTTTTTCCTCATAATATAGTGACATTTTTTCCTCATATTATGACTTTAATCTCATTAAGACCTTATTCTCGTTATAATACGACTTAATCCAGTAATTAAAAAAACTCTTGTTGTGTGGCCCTAATACTTCATCCTAGGTTACTGCRTTAGTCATGATAAATTTATTACAGAAAAATAACAARCTAAAAAAATGAACTCAAATAATCACATGTTCTCAGTTGCTCACCTTCTGGCACACTGGTAACCCACAGCTCCGTGGGAGGAGGAGCTGCCAGTTTGTTCACAAACCACACAGACCTGAAGTTGTTTACAGTGAAGAACCCTGCTTTTTTTGTTGTGCGGGGCATTAAAAATTAAACCCTAATGGTAATGTCATGAAGAAGAACAATGCTGTGTCTAATTGTGCCTCAGCGCAGMACGTCGACCCTAAAGCTTGGGTTATACTTCAATACACACTTCACAATGAAAACAAAGCTCCAAATAAGTGACTGTGCTGTCCTGCTTYATTTATGCCTTATACACGAGCACACCTAAACCATTTAAAGGTGGCCGACGGGCCCCTTCACCACCGACCTTAGGGTTTAGATGCACCTTTTCAAATCTTAGCTAAAAGCCGGCCTCTGTTGGAGAAAACCAAATGCAGCAGAAACGCTACATGCCCGTTTAACACAATGCCCATTTTGAGTGAAACCATAGAACTCACAGTATTTTYACTTAAAACCATGAAGCTATCCAGTAACCCTGCCTGGCATGGAAACTACAGTGGAGTCAACAAGCAATATTCATGTTAACATTTTTTTTATGTTGAATATCCACAACAGACACAGAAAAAACACATTCAGAAATGAAAAGGGCCTTAGTTTAAAAATCTGTCATGACAGGTGGTTTGAATTCCTTCGAGGAATGTTAGGTCATTAACTAAAGTATGTGGCTTTTTAGCAGCTTTAGTAACTGGTATCAAATCTTTCAGTACTTTACAGCACATTCCAGAGCTGAGGAGATTATAGCAAATAAAGTCTCACCAAACATTGAGCAAGTTGGAGTGTAAATGCAAGCTGTGAGGAAAGCGAARAGCATGAGCCGCCCAGTACGGTGTCACCACGTGTTGCTCCAGCCAGGCTCGGGCGTCAGGTGCACCCACTGGGAGGAGAAATTTGAACACGGCTTTTAAATCAGTTCCTGCTGCTTTGGATTCATTGGGCCTCATGCAAGAACCGTTAGTACGCACAGATTTGTTCTTAAGTTGTGCGTACGAGTGATTTAGGAGAACTTGTAACATTCACCAATGTTTTCGTATTCTAAGATTTTTTTCAGATACGAACAAAATTCACGAGTGGTCCAGACCTGTCGTAGATTTTACGAGCCGTCAGTCTGCTGTTATCCAGACGGGTTTTCCTCCCAAATAACTTTATATTT